CTACATACTATCAAAGACTCATAGAAAAGCTCATTTATGTGACAATTGCCGGATCGGACCTCTCCTATAGTGTGCGGCTCTTAAGTCAATTCATGCACGGACCAAAACTCTCTCATCTAGCGGCGACTTATAGGGTTCTAAGGTACCTAAAAGGAGATCCGGGAATATGGCTATTAATGTCCTCTACAAGTCGAGTTAAAAGCTAGAGGTATATTGTGATTCGGATTGGGCATCATGTTGTATAACTAGGAAATCGGTTTTAGGATTTCTAGTTAAGCTTGGAGACTCTACAATATCATGGAAAACAAAAAAAACAAAGCACCATTTCAAGATCATCAATCGAATCGAATACGGGGTAATGGCAAATGCGGTTTGTGAAGTCATGTGGATAGTGAGGTTGTTTGAAGATTTGGGAGAATAAAATATGAAATCGACAATAATGTTCCGTGATAATAAATCAGCCCTATTTATGGCTAGCAACCCGATCTTTCATGAAAGAAAAAAGCACATAGATTTAAATTGTCACTTAGTGAGAGAGCAACTTAACAAAGGCTTAATCATCACACAACATATATCAACGGAGGAACAACCGTGCAGACTTACTTACAAAAGTTCTAGGTGCCGGACAACACAAACACTTATTACATAAGTTTGGGATTAAAAACATATTTACTAATCATAAACTTGAGGGGAGTGTTGAAATATATATGTGCGAGTTGTGTGTGAAGTCGAAATGCATGGGAACAATGCGTGAAGAAACTAGAAGGAAATCGATTCATGACCAATCGGCACATCGGCTATTTGATGAAATGGCTATGTCACTCGGAAGCTGGAATTCGCCACTTGTCAAAGCCTCCAAGAAGCCGGGAGATTCTCCGCCTCTCGTGACCTACACCGGCCAATGATTGGCACTCACACCATGGCAAAATAGAGAATTAGTTAGTTAGTTTTTCATTTTGTAAAACTTTTAGAAACACATCATCGGTATATATAAAAGAACAATAACGGAATGTAAATGTAATGCATATAATTATCAATGAAATAAGCCTCCCTTCATCTTTTTCTCCAGTCTACGCTCTCTATTTTAACATAATCTATTCTTTAGGGTTTTTTTAATAAAAAATAATGATCACATAAATAGTCTCAAGATGAAAATCATTGGTTAGGTTTATATGGACTCTCCAAAAAGTTTAAAATAATTTTATTTTTTTCTAATTTTTTATATTTAATGCTGAATTAATAATAATAAAAATATATACTTTCCGATTTTGAAAATTTCCTAAATTTTCCCTAAGGTTTACGGAAAACCTCATGTCAAAATATCAAAGATTGAATTTTTTAAAATGGAGAGGTGAAAACTACAAATCATATGTACTAGATTTTAAAAAAATAAAATTTCATGTAAGGTCAAATCTAAAACTAGAAATTTAAAGACTAATTTTTAAATGAATTGAAGTCTATGTGAGGTTTGATCCACTTAACAATGCTCAAATAGAATTTAAAAATTAAGGAGTTCTCATAAAAATTACAATAAACACAATGGATGACTAAATTATATGGATTTAATTAAAAAAATTGATTATATAAATATCTTATTTTATTTATTTCTATTTTCATCTCATCCTTGAATAAAAAATATAATTATAACTCAACAACGTTGAGTTATAAAATCCAATTAATAAAAATAAAATACATATCATTAAGGTAGATATTAAAAAATATTTAAACTTTCATTTTTTTATTTTTATTTTCTAAGATAAAACAATGTTCTTATACAAATAATAATTTTTTTTAGTGAACTTCCCGACATAATGAGTTACCAAGTTAGGCCTAGGATAAAATATAATAATAATAATAAAAATCTTATTTCACCTATTTATTTCATCCAAACCATAATTTTAAATGTGAACGATAAAAATAACGATAACGGTCATCTGTTACGGATCATAACTAATTATAATATTAAAATAACGATAATAAAATGTTTTAAAACTGTTATATAACATAATAATCATTATTTATTTAAAATTATGATCCAAACACAAATATTTTTTCTTTACTTTATCGTAAACACAAATATCCTCACACCAATTTGTCTCCGCATAGACTTTTCAATCCCCTCTTAAAGCTATTACAAAATTCAACATTTTTTCAACACTTTGTTGGAGCCAATAAGAGGTTGAAATATCGGCAGCCTACCATCCTGATGTACGGGGAGAAGATGACCATTCACCTTGAGTTTGATATTCCAGCTGTGCTTGTTAAAATCTATTAGGATATCTCCATAATTGAATTCTGTATTTTTTATATTTTTTTGATACTTTTTACTTTAAACTATCCGTTATAATGCTACTAATCGGAATCGACATGCTATTTTTATTTTTTATAATTTTTTACTTTTTAATGTCATGTATCGATCACTAATTGGTAACGATATAATGGATAATTTGAAATAAAAAATCTTTAAAAGTAGAGAGTCTCAACCAATATATATATATAAAGGCTCAATTAAAAAAAAATTAAAAAATCCAGAATCTAAATATGAAAAAACCTAAAAATAATTAAGATTAAGATTGAATATTTAGTTACAATAGGAATTTAAAATATATAATGTTAGAGAAAATTTCACTTAATATAAGTTTATTACTGAGGGCATTAAATCTCAAATAATGCAATGGTTAACTTGGTGTTAAGTTTATCAATTCTAAAGCAGTAAATTTCACCAATTCTCATCCAGCTGTGTTTCATCTTCATTATTACCTTATTGCTTATATTAAAAATTCTATTATCCAACTGGATCAGTTTCGAGGTTGTCACACTCTCATAAAGGAAACAAGTATGCTGATTTCTTAATTTGATTGGGCTTAAGTCGGCGAGATTTAAACTAGATTTGGTCTGCTTTTCCTGCAATTCCAAATAATGCCATTCAAGTAGATGCTCACGGTGTGGACTTTTGTAGAGGTTAGTCTTTGCTTTCCTCCTCATGTGTGTGTGTGTGAGAGAGAGAGAGAGAGAGAGAGAGACTTTTGGCTTGAAATCCAAAGTGCACTTGCGGATCGAATCAGAGTTACTAATAGCTTATGCATTGAATTCCAAAAAAATAACAGCTTATGCATTGTGAATCTTTCACCACGTGTTTTGCCATGTTAACTCTGATTTGATGTACGACGCGAAATGGAATATTTTTAGTTTTCTAACTGGGACCGCCACCAAGCATTTCTCCATTGTCATCGTCCCAGAATGGTCCACTTCTTAAATGATACAGAATGGAATGTATTTGCAGTTGCTTTACTCATTCAATTTGTGATTTGATATTTTGCACGAGTTCCACTAACCAACAATTTTTATAGGTCACGGGTAAAATGGACAGATGCCCTATATTGCAAATTTCTTGCTTCCACTTTCCTTGCAGCCCATATTGTTTTCAAACTTTGCAAGCTTAAACTATTGATGTATTAGTCAAAGGTTCCCACTACTGATAGATCCCCCAACTTCTCTATAATTCGTCGTGGTTGGTTCATGAATCCGTTCTCAATGCTAATAAATTGGATCTGGCAGTCTCCAATAACCAAAATAATTTTCTTTTTTTAATATTTTTTTATTTCAAATTTGAGTTAGTTCAGCATCAGATGTGTATAAATAAAGACAAATTGAATAACATATTCAATTGGCATTTTTAATGCCTTTTGCCCTCTTTCAAAAACAAAATGAGTGACATAGATTTAGGTAAGAGGTCTCACCAATACTTCCGCACAGCTCTGTGATCCATTATATAACAACCCATACACATTCAGCTAAGTCAATCATCTGGTTAGTGCCTTTTGCACTCTTTCATTTTTACCTCCACGATCAATTGTCCTAACACAGGTCGCGCGTTTAGGTTGTTCTTCCCACACGCAGACTACAAACAGATTTCCAATAAAGAAGCTCATCCCGAAACACTTATGATTACTTAATCCCTATAGTTTTAAAAACTCAATATCAAATCCTTATAGTTTCGTATTTGTTTGTAATTTATCCTTCTATTGTTTTTCCATAACATTTTAATTGTTCTTTTTTTTTCTCCTTAAATGTCTTTCATTTCTAATTTAATTTACAATCTCATCCACCACAAACAAAACACTTATGATTTTAATTCATTTATGAGAACTAACAAACAAAACCAAAAAACACATAATTCACTCAAAATAATAACTACACTTGCCATTTCTTATTTCTTACATATCGGCATCATTTGTGGAACTACCCAATTAAATTGCAGCAATTTTCAAAATTTCATGTTGCTCTTGTAAGTTTCGCCCCCGCCAGATGATTTTTTGATACTAAATAGCTCAAAAATCTTTTTTTTTTTTTTTTAAGTCATTGCATATTTTGTGTCAAAAAAACGAATGTTTAATTATAAATATGAGAAAAAGCTTAATTTATTCTTTGAGTTAGTTTTTTGAGTTGAAAATATATCATTCAGTAGTACATAAATTCAGAAGAAATAGTTAATTTAAGACCTCATATGTGAATGAGGAGAATATTAAGCTATCTCTTATGTATTGTGAAAAAAATTATGAGAAAAACCTTCATTCCTTGAGCTAACTTTTGAGATCGAAAAAGTCTATAGTTTTTTAATTGAAACGGTTTTATTGGAAAGATTTACATTTAAAAAGTCATTTGGAGCTTACATACAAAAATGAAGACTATTTTAATAAAAAACTTTAGACGAATGGATCATGAATCCAACTTATATATAATAATATCAAATTTTTTATTTCTAATCCATATAGAATTCTGACTGATATATGGAATTCAACAACTTCAAATTCAATTTTTTGAATCATAGGTTTAAAAAAGAATAGAAAAAAATAGAGCTCATATTTCACATAGGAATTAGGATAAATATAAATGGATCATACTACACTCAATCTTCTACTATCAAACACGACAAAAAAATTAAAAAAAAAATTAAAAAAGAAGAAAAAGGCAACCATAGGATGCCATACTGGCATACTCTAAAAATCAACTCTCCGCTTGCACTTCTGCGTCTGAATTTGCTGATTTGTAATATTAAGCATCATGCTGCAATTCATCTTCACAACGATATTCCTCTCGACGATCACTATTTTCATCCTTCCTGGAACTCTTGTGTAGGTGGTCAGGGACAACAGCCCGGAGCTCAAATCAGCATTCAAATCTGGGCTTGACATGATCCGGTCTGGGATGATGTCCACAGTAACATTCATCCTTACGGTGCGTCCGGCCCTCGCATGGCCCGGTCCGTTTCTAGCCTCACCAACCATCTGGCCATGGTAGTAGAGGGTTGTGGTGGTGTTCTCATACTTGAATGATGCTACGTTGGGATTTTTCACTGATACATCTGCAATTAGGGACATGTTCACCCCTGGCTTAGGAATTGTGCCATTAGTTAGCTCTAGCTGAGTGACCGTAACGCCGTTCATTTTGATGATTGGGTCTTTGACACGAAAGACAGTGAAACGCAAAACTATGATCGCTATGACTAGTATCACAAATATGGAGGTGACGAATACACAGCATTGGACACATTTTCTACTTCGTTTCTTATGGTGTTGAGGAGCTCCTTCTTCGTCGCTGCTTTGGCGGTCCGCAGCCGGGGCTAATGGCCTTACCTGCTCGCGTTCCCCCATATGGCTAGAGGTTGGAAGGGTATAGGATCAGGGATGTTTGCAGGAGGAGGAGGTGGTGGTCTGGAGCATTTTGGAAGTATTGTGTTGTGGTTTTATACTGTTCTAGTAATGGTGAGTCAGTGGAGATGTAATTAAACTTTGAATTTTGTTCAGATTGTTAATATTATTTGACTAGAAATTTGGTTTTTGTCCTAATCAAAGCCTCAAGGGTGTTGACTTCTGCCTCTGATCTATATGATCTTGCTCTAAAAATTTTCTTTTAACCTTTTTTTTTCGTCAAATTAATTCATCAAGCACATCCATGAACAACAAGACAGAAAATTTTGATTTAGTCGTTAATTATTTTTTTCATCCGCAGAAATGAAATAGAAGTGCTCTGCCGCTCATGTAAGCAGTGTAAATGAGCGGATCACTGTTTATGTTGATAAAATATGGTTTGATGACATAAAAATCAAGATTAAAAAAAATTGATATTAATAAATTGTAATTCAACTGCTGTTAGGATTTTTATTTTTGTAAAAAATTTCATATTCGATTCTTTCTTTTGTAATGTATATATAATAGTTAAAATGCTGGAATAAATAAATATATAAAATGACTGCCAGCTAGAGAAAAGGAGAAAGTGATGGCTAGCAATAATGCAATTTTTTTTTCAACTTGAAAAATTTAATACTAAGTAACACTTTAAAACAAAATTCAAACATTATTAGGTCGGGGAATTGATAGTTGCATAAGGCAGTTTGGCTTAAAATCAGCAGTAGTAATTAGGCCAAGAGTCATCCCAGCTGCTAACTAACTCCTTTCATGATTGAGGTGATCAATAAATAGAGGAACCTTCTTTTGCTTGACATCTCACATTTTATAAGTAACCTGCAATTGCAAATGAAGATCTTTTGAAGTCGTTTTTGTACCAATTTGAAATTGACAACGAACCCTGTTAAAGATGTAATTATTAAAAAACCAAGATATATAAGAGGAACGATAAAGGCGACGAATTTTGTATTAAGATGAAACGATTGAACTTTAAATTCTGCACCATCCTTTTTGAACAACAAAACACAAATAATATCTACACACAAATGTGGGTTTTGATAACTTCAGTGTATATGCATTAATTAGATGTTGCTGTGCTAAGTTAAATGAAAATTGCTTTCTTCTGAAAAGATAATGTTAACGTACTAAATGTTTTTATTAAGCGACGTAATATCATGTAAATGTTATTTAATTAATCACTCAACTCTATAATTATAATTATTTTTTTTAAATATAACAAGATCTATATTTTAACATTTTTACTTGTAATAATGTCAAGTCATTTAATAAAAAAATTAGTAAACCTGGAAGGATGACTGGGTCAGCATCCACTTTATAAATAAAACTAAAACACGCGGATCGGTTTTTTCGTTCCTTTTCTTGAAGCGCATAACTCAAAATAGCCGTAGACAATCACTCATTTGCACGGTGCTTTTTCACTGTTTTTTCCGAAATTTTGTATCTTGGTCCCTATTTATTGAAACATTTTTTCTTTCGTTTTGATCTCTACACGCCAAGAGAAGAGACGGTCAGGTTCCATGGGCGCGGCCAGATGCTCCAGATCCAAGCATGTGGGCTAGCTGCTCAGGGCCTAACGCCCAAGTTTGGACCATAGTTTTTTTAATTAATAATTTATAAATAATATTAGGAACATCAAGCTTTATTATTTGTGTTTTTCCGCACAGTTACGAGAATAAAATTTATATAATATTTTTTTATATTTTAAATTATATTACTCTTATTTAAAATTTACTATTTTAATTTGTCATTTATTATGAAAATTATCTTTCAATTAATTTTTTTAATTTTGTATAAAATTTTATTTAATAATAAATATAGTTTATTTTTCTCTATATTTGAATTTTATAATAAAACTTTAAAACATGATTTTTTTTCTTTTTAAAAAATAAATTGATATAATATATATCATGAATTCTTAAAATTTTTAAATTATAATGACCAAATATAAAATTATTTTAATCTAAAAGGTCAAAAATATACTTTGGATAATTTAACTTCGTTCATCAAATATGATCATTACGTATAAAAAATTGTTGAACCATCAATTTTATTAAAAATTAATTAGACATCTTTATGCATAACGCCAACTATTTGCTATGAATATTTTTTTAATACTATAGAATCAATTTTATTTAAAATAAAAATAATTAAAGTATTTTTTTTAAAGAATCATCCAATAATTTAAATATATTTTTTATGCTAATATTATTGATTATTTTATAATAACAATATATAAATAAAATGCATATATTTTCAAAAAATAATCTCCTCTTCAGCATTAAATAAAAATAAAAAAACTATTTGTTAATTCTCATACAAGTTTATACGTTAATTATAACTTTATTTTTTAAATTCAATCTTATGAAAATTATATTTTATTTTTAAAAATTCTTTATTAATCTTTTAGTTTAAATTATTATAAGTTTTTCTTTAAAAAATCAAGACATAAAAAAGGATGAATCATATTTTTTTAAAATAAAAAATTTAAGACAAATATAAAAAATAATTAAATGCAAAATTAAAATTAAAAAATTTTAAAATAATTTTATTCTGCCTCATTTGCATTTGCAGCGTAGTGCTGCCAACTGTTAACCATATATATATAGGATCACCATTTACCAGGATAAGGTACCCAATAAACAAAACCTTCAGAAGGCGGCTAGGCCAGTTATGGACTCGTCTCAGCCTGGCGAAACTATCTCATAGCCCACAGGCTAATGATCATGTATGGCTACTGAACCTTAAAAAATTAATCGTAAAAAACTAGTTTCTGAATTCTGATTCGAGCTCAATTCCGGTGTCAAATCAAAACGCCGCGCCCAACTATTGGAACCTCTTTGTAATAGCCCAGAGCTCAAATCAGCATTCAAATTTGGGTTTGGGAGAGCTCCGAGATCATGTCCACATCATCATCTAATCCCATTGTTCGATGGGCCTAGCATTAGCGGTCATTTCTAGTTCAACAACCCCCCCCTCTCTCTCTCTCTCTCTCTCTCTCTCTCTCTCTCTCTCTCTCTCTCTCTCTCTCTCTCTCTCTCTCTCTATATATATATATATATATATAAAACTCGAATTTTATTTCATTAAAAAAAAATAAGAATATATAATTGTTATGGTAGGTACTTGATATGGTCATGATACCTTTTTTTTTATTATAATAAAACTACATACATTAATAGTTAATTGTAAGAGTTAGGAGAGGAGGAGCAACCAAACTTGACATGTGCCATGACAATGAATTAATTTAGCCACAACAGCAAAATGAATAGCTCACTTTACCATTTTACATATATATATATATATATATATATATTTTCGAATAAGATTTCAGGTCAATCAAGAATTAATAATTTTTCACTTCACTTTATATAAATTAATCCAATACCAGAACATGTTTATTGAACCACCACCTCTTACATAAAGCATTAAAAAAAAAAATTCAATTTCTAGCATTTATGAAGAATTAAACCCATACTCTCTCAAAACCTCTTCATGTCTATCAAAAGACTGCTAAGTGCAAACTTGGCAACTTTTGCTATACTAGAATTATGCTGCTTTGTGACTTTTCACTGATACGTCAGCAATCAGGGACCCGGCGTGGCTTAGGAATGGTACCATTGATTAGTTCCATTTGGTTGTTAATTACCGCTTTCGCTTTGATGATAGGGTCCTTGACTTCTCCACATGAAAACGTGAAAATTAAAACTCGATCGCTGCGACTACTTTGTAGATGACAAATATAGTCGAGACGCATCCGCAACATTTAACGCATTTTCCACTTCATTTACTTCGTTATGACGAAAGCTTAAAAGGCAACGTATTATATTTACAATTACGTTGGCTTTGCTTTTCATGTTATAGCTTAGGATATGATATTCGAATTTTAAGGAGATTTAAGAAAATAATTTCTTATCAACATAAGACCAATTGAATGATTGCCTTTACGTCCAACAGCCCCAAAAGTTTAGTGCTAATGAACAACAGTTTCTTAGGTCAAAGATGTAGTAGAACACAACAATTAACAAAATCACGAACTTGTATGAAACAAAAACACATTTCATTTTATTGATCTTTTAGCATAATCGAAATACAGACCCAGATCCAGATCCAGATCCAACTCAAAGGAGAGAATTATAACAGATCTGAGAGGGTAGGCAGCTTGATTTCACCTTTACTGGAGAGAGGAATGGTGAAATTGCCAATGACAGGAAGGTCAATTGTGAGACCCAATTCCAACGCATAGTCTATATCCCAGTCTCTACCAATGTCCTTCACCAAGCTCACCAGCACACTGTGCGGCACCTTCACTGGCACATCTAACATCGTTGTGTCATTAGCTTTTAGCGAGCCAGGGTCTGGGATTGTCCCTGATGCAATCACCCTGATCCAAGTATTCAAATAGACGAATCATGTCAAGAGAAATCCACATGTTACCAATCTTCCATACATTTAATAAGGACGATTTATTTGACAAACAAGGCATTTGCACAAGCATGAATCAATTTAAAAGCCGACACAACTTCTTTAAGCATATCTACTCGGAATATTCTCCATAAGCATTGGATTCTCGACGTTGACCCAAATATTTATAATTAGATACCCTCTCATTGTTTTTTTTTTAAAAAAAAACGTCTCTTTTCGGCTGTATTCTTTTTATTTATAACAAATTCTTATGCTTTCGGCTTTCCTAACAATTTTCAAAAGGAAAGAATCATGTATTCTTTTTTTTCATTTTTTATATTAATTGTACTTTTCTACGATGAATAGTTATTCCACATGATCATCTTGAGTTAATTAATGACAATTGAAAATAATTAATCTTAATACGAAAATTATACGGAGTAAGCAATCTGATAGTTTTGGACAAATCTCACACGATCTTTGAACAATATTGTTCATATTTTAGACAAAAAGAAATCCAATATGAAAAAATATCAAGAATTAGGTAGAAGCCTAAACTCTCCGGTGAAAATAAGCAATAAAATCTCACACGATCTTTGAACAATATCGTTCATATTTTAGACAAAAAGAAATCCAATATGAAAAAATATCAAGAATTAGGTAGAAGCCTAAACTCTCCGGTGAAAATATGAAATAAAGGTCAATTTTTTAACGAAACGATGAATCTGTTAAGATCGTGAGAAGAAATATTGGGATTACCTGCCATCACTTTTGAGAACGTAGGAAATCTCGCAAATGGGGATCGCAGTTCCGTAAGGGTTATTGACTGACACCTTTGCACCATAGTCTATGCTGTCACGGTGCACGCTTTCAAGATTCACGTCGGTGACGGTAGCCTCTGGTGTTTTGACATTAGCCACCTTCTCTGCCACAAACTGCTTGGCCTTGTCTAGCAACTGAGACATTTGGTAATTGCAAGAAAAACAGAGAATTCTTAATTAGTTACAGGCTTCGTTTATTTTTTTGTTTTCCAATGAAATGATGGTAATCTCTTGACTGGCTTCTCTCTTGTATTTATATATAGTAGGAGACGCTTATCTTGACATAGTTGTTGCGTGTCCTGTCGGCGACATGGGTGAAGATACGTGGGTGGCTCGTGAGTCTTCTCGTGTATCAAGATCTGTGCTTGCGTTTTCCTTATTCGAGAATTAGGGAAAGCCTCGAAATAGCCCCTAAAGTAGCACCGATTACATTATAATCAATTGTGTCCTAAAACAGATTATTTATCGATTAAGTCCAAAAAAGTTTTTAAAAATTTCTCAAATGGGTCCTTCTTTGTATTTTGGATAATTTTATGTCAAGATCTTATTTATCAAAACATCATTTATTGACGGTAAATGTCACTAAACATTAACAAAGATTTTTTTTTCCTTGAGAGAAAAGCACTCTGATTTGTCTCTTTCCATAATTTCCTTTTCTTCCCTTTTAATTTTCTGAACACGTCTCTCACCATAATTTCATTGCACATGATTTGCAACGTGTGCATGCGCTGGGCGAAATTAAGGGTGGCTTCGCCTTACGAATGGATCCACCCTACGCGTTGAAAAGCATCGGGTATGGAACATTTTAAGGCATGAGATCAAAAAAAGGAAAAAAAAAGAAAAAAAAAGCTTCTAGTTGTGATAGTTTTCGATAATGCGAAAGTTTTTTTTTTTTTTTCTGTTTTTTAACTCGACCCAGTTAGAATTCTAAATTCATATTAGAAAAAAAATTCATGTTTGTTAAGGTATTACTAGATTAATGCCTGCTCTATGCGCTACGGTAAAATAAATGCTGAATAATAAATTATTTTTGTTTATTTTCGTAAAAAGGTAACGAAATTGGAATGATTTCAGATGTTTGAATTTGTTTTCTTTCATTGTTTTGATTATAGATAGTTGTTTGAAAAAAAAAACCGAATATAAATTTAAGTGATGATAGATGATATATTTTTTAATGATAATAAAAAAAGTATATGTGAAGATTCGATAACACCAATAAGGATTGAACCAAAAACGTAAAATACATATAAGTTATTAAAAAAAAAATTTAGCTGATTACACCCCATTATTTTATTCAACTAAAAGCATGCAACTATATGTTTTCATACAACTAAATAGTTCTAAAGAATGTTTGAGGACATGTTCGATAAATGTATTTAACTAAAGAAAAAAAATTGAATCAATAATCGAAAGCAAGTGACTAATCTTCATCTCGTTTATTCATCAAAAGTAATGTTTATTTATTTGTTTGTTTTGAAATAGTAAGGAGTGAGGTGGTACATTTGGATATGAGATTGAATGGAAAAGTAAAGATTTATTGTCAAACTTGTATATCAGCAACGGGTATGTAAAACAAATTATAAATGGTTGTTTTGTTTTCATCTTTCAAATTTAGCTCGCCTATGTTGTATTAAAAGGATAACGATGATTATTATTAACTCATGAAATAGCCAAGGTAGGAAGATGGATGAAATTCAAGTGTTTGGTAGGTTGTTTTGTTTCAAGGATTGTGGGAATCATACAAATGAGAAAAATTTTAGATAGAGATAAGCAATTTGTGGCTAAGAAGTTAGTAAAATACCTCTTATGATATATTTGTAGGAGTAAAAAAAAAATCTAATAGTAAAAAGCCGTATATTACTTGAAGAATAATGTTGAATTTTTTTTAAATATGGTACAAAAATTTATAAATGTTGGGCTAGATATGATGTAAATACACAAATAAAATAAAAATATTAAGATGGAGAATATCAAGGATTTAATCATAATTTTAGTGCACCAACTTATCATTTTTTTTCTAACCAAGTGCGTATTCTTTAATATTTGTTAATTGAGTGACTCGGGTTACAAAATTTTTCTAATCAAGTGTCTTTGTTTACTTTACGTTCATATTTCCTATTTTTGTCCGAATAGATGATTTAAGAGACCCGTGTTACGGATAATAATGATGTGGTAATACCTGTGAGACACGTGGAAAATGAAAAAAAAGGATTTGTAGATAAAAAAAGTTAGATTGTTTTACTCAAAACAAATCAACTCTCTCCCTCTCTCATCCATTCTTACTTACTAAACCGTCAAATTAGGGATAGATCATAGAGGGAAAACATAAATTAAGGAGAAAAAGGAGTCGAATAACTTGATAGAAATCATTATAATGGAAAATTAAGAGGATTGATGGAGTACTTGCATAGAAGGAAGTCGGGTAAGATTCAAAACTATTTTGTTTGAGAATCTTTTTGTATTTTGGATTTATTGACTTGGTAGGTATTGTAAGATTTTGTCATTGTGTAAAATATTCAAAAAAAAACTTTGTTTGAGAATCTTTTAGTATTTTTTAGTTGTGTAACTAGGTGTTGTTCTTGTTAGGGTGTTTGTGGAGGGATGCGTGGCGTGATATGTGGGGTATTATGTCTACAAAATAAGCATTTTTATTTGCATTATGTGTGTATGTGTTGTCGTTGTTTGTGTTTGAGTAGGCAAGCATAGGTTCTTTACTTTTTTTATATGGTCCCTAAAAGTGATCCTAAATGTTTGCTATATATGTTATAGGATGGCTAAAGGTAAAGTTGAATTTTTTTTTATGGGGGTTCTTTAATATATTTTTCAAAAATGATTAATGCTTGGTGGTAGAAAAGTATTGAAAGACATCGATGATGTTCATAACTTATGTTATCGAAACCTAAAAATGGATTGGCCTCGAAGTTGGGTTGGAAAATGTACATAGGGTTTGATTTAGGGTTCTTGGACCATTTTTGCCAATAGGTTTGAAACTAGTAAATACAAATATAGTTTTAGTTGAAAAGGGTCCGATAATTGACCAATTTCGAGCTATGCAAGTGTTTGTTGAATATTATATGTCATGACCTCGAGAGTGGGCCATGATTAATGCGAGGATCGAGAAAACCGTGAGGCCCACCTTGATCCAAGCAAGCCATTGATACTAATCTAAAGTCCTAAAATCGTCACCAACATCAAATATAATTTCCATTTCATAATAATCTTAATTTAATAGACATTTCTTCAACATTAATACATTTCATAAATTTCATGTTATTCTCATTTTAATAGTCAAGATCAATATTCATATTCAAATCTTAATACATTACCCATAGTTATAACTACGGAGTATCTAATATACAATAAATCAAAACATGCATGGGTTCTAAGGAATTATAATGAAGAACGAGTTGCACGACCAAAGTGCCAACTTCACGAAAAGTTGCCAAAAGGAAGCAATAGGCAATCCCTCAATATCCTGCAATACTGAAATAATAAGAGGTGAGCAAACCACAACTCGGTGAGTAGACATTATATAATATACTAAGGAAGAAAACGGACTACCGACGATGTTCTTAAATCCATGTCAAAATGCAATGCTTATTTCTCAAAATATATGCATATCGAAAACTCAATTTAAGTCACAAATCAAATGGTTCAAAACCATTTTGTATCAAATCATCAAGCATTTGTTCATACATACTCATACAAAAACACATATATAGGTTTTATACACATGTGGGGTAACAATGTATCATTGGGTGTGAACACCCAAAAGCCATGTCCCTTGTGACTAGGTTTTTGCGTGTTGGTTGACATATGACTAACATTACACCTCTTTTGTTAGATGGAGCATCGTATCATTGAACTCAAAGGCTATCTCTCGATAGCTAAGTTCACCGAGGTCTCAAAAATATTTTCGAAAACCAAATGTATTTATATATTTTCAAATCGATATTTAAAATACCATGCATGGATTTTGATAAATTACACATATACTTAAAATACAAACATAACATAATCATTCATATCTAAAATCTCATATTAATTTCAATAACACATGGAAATCGCTTCTTCATTCATATCAAGCCATTTTGATACAAAAAACAATTCAAATATTTAGAATATTCGTTCCTATCTAAGTTCTATTAGAATGCTTTCAAATTAATCATAAACAATGATCCATGATGGATAATTCAAGAACTTTAAAACATAGTACATAGTATAATATTCACTCATAGTATAATTGAAGAAGCTGAATGGAATTAAGGTTGTGATGAAGTCGTCCAGCTCCGAAGAATCTAGTATTATAAATGATGGATCATCCATCAATATCATATAATAAGGAATAATCCAACAATGGATTATTCTAGAATTAAAATACAAGATTATCAAATAAAAAAAATTAATTAGAAAGACTCGATCCGATAACTTGATTAGATTCTATGATCCCTTAATTGATTCTAAATAATCTCTTAATCATATTCCTTTACTAATCTTCAATCCATCTTTAAACAATCAACTAATTCTCAATTCGATTAAATGATCAATTATATTCTAATTCATCCAATAATCACTCCGTTCATCTTTAATTATACTTTCATAACTTAATTTCTCATTTTTCCTAAAATTCTTTCCAATTAAGATCTAAATTCGAATCTATCACTATTTATCATCTTTAACCTCTCAATTTCTTAAATTCATTTGATTCTACTGCAAATTAATCTCTTATTTCACTTGTCTAAGACAATTAAACACCTATGATCAGTTAATCAAACTTTTCCCTAAATGAATCTCAAGAACCCTAACCTCAATCTAAGCAATTCCTCACATAAATCATTAATGCAAAGCAATCTCAATTCAATATCATCATTCACTATACATAAACTTCACAATTTAAATATTAATGGATCAAAATTCTTATACCTTTACACTAAGCTCTTTAAATCCAATTTCTTCTTATCTTTCTCCAAGCTTTCAAAGCTCCAAGCTAGCTAAGATTCACTTAACTCAACTAATTCAACTAATTTATGGTTCTCCCAAGTTAATTTAACATAGAATATTTGGAATCAAAGATGAGAATTTAGGAGAAAATGGGAGAGGTATGACATGGAGGAGGGGAAAAAAGAAAGAAAAATAAAAGGATA